TAAAGTGATGTGCGTCTTGTTTATTATTTTCATGTTTTCTTCTGTGATACTTGAAAAGTACATTCCAATTGGTAATATCATTTTTCCATTCTCAAAAACTCTGCCATATTCATCAAATCGTATTTGTCTTTCACAGTCTTTTATTAAAGTAAAATGAGTTTTTGTTGTATCACAAGCATTATCCTTTAGATAGACTAATTGGGCAACAACTTCATATCTCCCTTTAGTTATAAAATCGTTATTTATAGTTACTTTATTAAGTTTGTATTTTAAATCAATTTTTACGGTTTTAATAAGATCTTTTGAGTCACTTTTAATGTATAAGAATTGTAATGTGAGTTCAAACAATTCAAGAGGAAAAGATTCTGTGATGTTATAACTAACATACACATCAAACGATTTTTGATGTTCATAGACTTCTTGTCTATAACCGACAACTTCTACATTTTGGAGGAAGAAGACTGACTTTTTAACTGAGACAGTATCTATCAGTGCAGTACCAAAATTGTCTTTGTGGATATAAAAAGTCACTTTAAAGTCGTTTGTCACATTTGTTACATAAATAGTCTTGAAACACAATTTTTGCCACCCATCCGTTTCTTTATAAATTGGACTATAAAACCCACCCAACCATTTGTCTTTATAGCTCTCTTCTATTGCAAATTGGAAAAATTCTTTGTCGTTTTTGCTTAATTTTGCAGTGCAACAGACGTCGTATTGATAACCCTTTTCTAGAACAACTGTTTGAGTCTCCGTTTGAAGTGTATCAGTACCAACTATTTTTAGAGATTGAACTCCTTCATATGTGTCACTTTTTTATATTGATACCGAAGAACTTAAAGTCTATTCTTTTAATGATATACCATCCATATCTTCAAAAGACGGATTCTTCAAAAGATTGGGAATTTCAGACAAGCCAACAGAAAACAATAAAAACAAAGGAAGATACGATAACATGTTATTTTATATAAAAATGAAAGTTTGAAATATTTTTATACTCAACATTTCGTAATATTCATCGAATTCCTTTTATATTTCATTTTTGTAATAATTGTTATACAACAATAATAAATTCTATGATTATTATAAATAATAGTTTTATTGATGCGTTCTATTTTTTATGTTTTATAATATAATAATGTCAATGTAACCTTATTTCGCTTTCAAAATAATAGTGTTAAAACATTTACAGAACAAAAAGAATAAGATAAATTAAATTTAATTGATATGAAATGTAAAATAAAAACTATTGTAATACCATTTTAATAATTACCATTTTCTAAAAAAAATATTAATTGATTGTTTTATTGTATTTTTTTAAAAATGTAACTTTTGTGTATTTTTCTTTTTTTAAATCTCTGATTGATACTTTAATTGGAATTATAATATTAAAAAAATTAACATTTTAATTTTTGTGTATTTTCATTGATAAACACAGTTTGTAATCGAATCTAATTGTCATAATTTTTAATAAAAAATCATTACAATGTAAATTATATTCCTAAGTAATATCAAGCCGATAATTTTCTTTCTTTAATCACAACATATTTTACAAATAAATAAAAAGGAAAAATTACTTAGGTTCAACAAAACTGAAGTACTTTTGTTCCAAATCCACTGCATCAACAAATGTTTTTTCTAAATTTGTTGAAATACCAGTATTTGTAATAGTTATCTTTTTAGTTTTTAAAAGTTCATTTAAGGTTACTTGTTTTTTGAACAATTTTACTAAATTCTCTTTTTCGGCTTCAATCAAAACATCATATTCAATGTCTTCTTTTCTTATTGTTATTACAGAATTACTAACAACAATAGTAACTTTCTCATTGTTTGTCAGATCAACAATTTTTATTGTTCCTTTGATGTTTTCCAATATTTTTGGATCAACATGAATAGCTAAAAATTCAGAAAAAGCTTCTAAAGGTACATTTTCAAGTTTAAATCCAAAATCCTTTGGTTTCTTGTCGTTCAAATTTCTCAACTCAAGCGCAGAAGTTTGGTAGTTGTATCGCCAACTTGCGCACTCGGCAACGTAACTCAGTTGGTCGTATGTTGTAGCAAGCAGTTCGCGTGCCTTCATGTTGTTGACATCTGCAAATACCAAGTGATTCAAGACTGTTGCTGCCCATCGGTATTCGCCTTTGTTGTAAGCGTCTTGTCCAATTTCAAGTGTCTTTTCAACACCACCAAACGCCTCTACAAACTTCACTGCAAGTTCGCGTGGTGGAAGTTCGTCCAAGTGTGCTGGATTGCTATCATATGTTCCAAGGTATAATTGATATTGTGATTTGATATTGTGGTTGAGTGAGCCGTACAGTCCTCTGCAACACCTCTCTTTATTGAGACTGTCGGGAAGTCTCACAAACTCGGCAATTTCAGTCATGTTATAACCCTTGTTGGCATATCGCAGTGTCTGGTCGTGGATGTGCTTGTACAAATCTCTTTTGGTTCGCCAGAACTTGTTGATTCTTTCATTCCCAAAGAGTGCTGGACCATGTCCCGCAAAGTGAATTTGGATGTCCTTCCCATAACTCACAATTGCATCATCCAGTGCTTTGCTCCAGACTTTACCACTTCTGACTTTAGTTCCTCTTAATGTTCCTAATTGTCAATGGGTGTCATTTAAATAATAATTTATTAACATTAATCAATAAAATATATTAAAAATAACAAACCAAGATTATGCATTACGACACAGAAATTATCCGCTCCATAAAGTGCTTCAAATTCTGAAAAATACAACATCATATTTGCTGGCGCTTCTGTTTCTGGAGTTGGTATGAATTCAATTTCGACTCCATCAATTACAATAGTTTGTTTTTGGTTTATTACAGTTGTATGTTTAGAATATGGAAAAGAAGTATTAATTTCGTTCTTTTTTCCGGTTGTATTATCTGTCGCTTTTGTTATTGAATCTTTTAATTGTGCTCCGTACATGTACTGTGCTCTTCTTGATGTTACTTCATTTGCATAAATATTTTCATCTAAAAAGCTTTGTTTAAAATTTTGAGGCAAGTATAGGGGGGTCTCCTCATTAGCTACATAATCATAACCACCAAATCTGTTATAATGGGAATGTGAAATAATAACAGCAACTATTGGGGCAGTTTCAACTGTTTTCATAATTAAATCGACTGCAGTTTTGCAAGAAGAGATGGTTGTTCGTGTGTCTAAGACTATCCACCCAGTCTTTCCTCTGATCATTGTTAGATTTGCAATATCATCTGCTTTATTTCTGTATTGATATATTTTATGAGGAACAACTTCAAAAACACCAGGAAGAGGGTCGTATTTGGTGTGAGTGTAATAACTTGGGTTTGAGTCTGTTGGGCATTCAGAAAGAAGTTCTGACATCGTAGGTATTTTTGTTTTTAACTCTTCAAATGAGAGAGTGTTTAAATTGCCATTTAAATCAGCATAGTATCCATTTAGATTGGCGTAATAATCTTCATCTTGATATAAATCATACTCATTGTAAAAGTCCTTGTTCTGTTTAATTGTAAAACTAGTAGGTTCACTTGCCATTTATTGTTTAATTGAATGTGTGAAAGTGTAAACGTTTATATATCACAACAAGCTACATTAATTTGAAATTCAATTCGACATGAAAAATAAATTATTTCAAAACTTAAATAGATATTCCTTAAAGCATTCAGTAAAATTCAATTTAATTGAAATCAGTAAGAAAACATATGCAAAAAATGAATCTTTAAATTAATTGTACTTTTATTAATGTTCTATTATAAAATTCTTAATATCACAAATAAAATAACATACTAATAAAAGAGACTTAAGTATTATCTTTATAATAGATTTACCAATTAAATCATATACAGATGAGTTACGGTGGTATTTACAAGTACAAGGTTTCGATTACTATTAAAATATTATTTGAATTATAATGAACAAGTTTGCTAATTTAGTTTTTAAAAAGAGTTCTAAATATAACTTTTTATATTTAGTTTTTAAAAAAGTATATAAATTATTTATTAGTCGAAAACATGGTTTTAGTATAAACCATAGTACCACTTCTGTAATAACAGTATTCTATAATAAATAAATAGTTGTTAAACATTTATTGACAAAAATTTTATGAATCTTAAAAAAAATACATCAAAAAACGTCTTATAAACAACAACACCAAAAAACAAATAAAATAAAAATTATTTAAATTGATTTTTCTTTGTGTATTTTAACAAATTTTGCAATTTGAAGAACCATCTCATCAACATTAAAAATATTAGAATGAGTGCACATATCAGAAAACACACAAGTAGACGTCTCTTTATTTATTACGTGTTCCCACAACTTTCTCCCGTGGTTTTGATTAATAATATTATCTAACTGACCATGTCCCACAAAAATAGGTGCAGTAATTATTGTGATGTTTTCTATATTTAAAAAGAAGTCCGTTTCAAAAATAGAATCTTTCATTTTTTCTTGAATCCATTCTCTGCACGTTGTGAACCCACTCAATTCAATAACTCCTCCAATATCATCTTTACTCACGCCTTCATTCTTTAATAACTTGCTTTCACATATCATCGCACCAAGCTGAAGTGTAGGACCAACACCCATAGAGTGTCCCATAATAAAGATATTATGCGGCTTGACCTTCATCTCTTTAAGAATCATCAAGTACATTGCAGTGATATCTTCTATAATATTTTGTGGACTTAATTCACATGGATTAAGACCATAACCAGAGTAGTCGTATACAACAACATTTGATTGTGTCATGTCAGGAAACTTCTCAGTGACACTGACACATTGCCCCATGTCAAGACCGTTGCCATGTGAAAATAGAATATAGACATCACTTGGAATCTTTGGTCTGTATACTTTATATGGAACTTTGCGGTGTCTAATTGTACAAAAATGACAAGTATTGTATGACGGTTTGGGAGGAAAGAAAGAGACACTACAAAGCGCTTTTTCTTGTGGTGTTGGTGGAAACGAGTGGAAAGAACCCATTGGTATTATTTGACAATTTTAGTTCATTTATATTATAATTGAATTAATATAATAATATAATAATATAATATATAATATAATAATAAAATAATATAATGATATAATAATATAATAATATAATAATATTATATTTTATTATAAATTATTATAAATTATTATTATTATTATTAATTTATTATATTTTATTATAAATAATAATAATTGTGTTTATTTTATTATATTTATAATTTTCTTAACTATTGCAAAAATTAAAAAATCTCAAAACAAAACCAAAATAAAGTAATACTGAGTATTAAAAGTTTTGTGTTTCATTTTTGGAGTTTTATTGTGTTTCAATTGTTCTAATGTAATTAAGTGCGTGATATATCATTAAAAATTAAAATCGGAACAAAATATACATCATTTATGATAAAAAGTTTTTATTTTTTGTTTATTTTTTATTCAAAAAATGCAGAATGTTATTGTCATCAAAATGTCAACACCGTTAAAAGAAATAGAGAATTGTGTATTCAGCTCTTGTTATCAGATTATAGAACCGATTTTATAACAGACACTCTCGAAACTTGGTGAATTCAGTTTATTTGAGTGCAGTGAACTTACAAATATAATATAACCTGATTCAATTACAGTTCTACCCAAATGTTGTTTCACTTGTTGTTCCATGTTAGAAAACATCAAATTTCCAACATTGTTAAAAACAATTGAAGACAACTGTTTCGCTCGTTGTGGTTCACTGAAGTCAGTCAATATTTTTAATATTGAAAATTCTATTGGAGATGGCGTGTTTATGGAGTGTTCAAGTTTGACATCAATATTTATTGGAGGGTCCGCTACTAAATTTGGTAAAAATACATTCAAAGACTACACTTCACTTATTGATGTTAAAATACCATTTCTTGTTAAACAAATCGGACTCTATCTTTGTTCAGGATGTACCAATTTGCCATATTTTGAACTTCCAGATCAATTGGAAGAAATTCCAGATTATACCTTTTATCAATGCAGTAATTTAGAAACTGTTAATGTACCATGTAATATAACTAAAATTGGATTTATGGCGTTTTTGAGGTGTGAATTATTGAAAAAAATAAAGTCCCAGCAACTTCCAAATCGATTAGTGCCTCTTGTTTTATGGGATGCAATTTATTAAAGATTTGTGTTCTAAAAAATGTAGAGTCTTTGGGTGAAAATTGTTTTAAAGAATGAAAAAAATGAAAAGGGTATAAACAACATTTCTTTGTTATTTATCATATTTCCATATAACATTTAAATTGGTTTTTATAGCCATCAAAATCAAAGATAAAAGCACTCGATGCTGTTTAACTGACACTGTTATTTGTATTTTAATTATTAAACCAAATTTTTTAAATTTAAACGAATAGTTTTACAATTATTTGGTATAATTATTATAAATTAATAAAAACAATTAATTATCAAAAAATGAAGTTGGAGACTGACCCTCATCGAGTTACATAAGCGTTTGAATAACTGTATTTACAACGAAAATGGTTCACATGGTTTAAGCTCATCCGAAGATTCTATGCATCCATGTGTTCCACCTACCTATTAAAGGTTGGTACTTTCTACCCTGATGTTCGAGGAATTTCCCGAGAATAGTTCAGTGATGAATGAACACTTGATACTCCCATCTCAAACATTCCAACTTCAAGAATGATAATTCCTTTCTATATATTTAATTGTATTCTCTTTTTTAAAAATTATGGGACTTGATTAAACCATTTATATCTATAATTTAATTATACTATAACTATTATAATAATATTAATATTATTTATAAATAATTAAAATGTACTATAAATTTATAATTATTATTATACATAAGGTAATAAACACAAATGAATATATTAGAACACAAATTTAAGTATTGGTTATAAATTATATAAAGAGTGTATTGTGCTCTGATAAACTTATTAATCAGAAATGTGTGATATGTGTGATTCAAATACAATAACAAATTTAAAACAAATGTATTTGTAATGAAACAACAAAACCATAACAACAAATACTGAATTACCACATTTATCCAAAGTGACTGAAATTAAACTGTTTGGCTTTACAGTCAGTCACAACCACATTGTTATTAGGGGTGTACTTGGTATGCTTTGGAACTGTGTCTTTTTTCGGAGCGTCGTGGTGTTGTTTCTCGTTGTGTGGCACCAAATCTACTTTTCCCATCGCTTTGATGTTTGTCCGACTTTCCTTTTATATTGTCACTTACCTTTTTAACAATCTCTTTCCTTTTCCTTCTTTTTAAATTTTCTAAAAATTAAATTTATTAATTCAATTCCATATTAATAATTAAAACCACAAATCTTCATATCAAAAAATACTTTTGGATTAACTTTGTGTTTGTCATTTTTTGATGGAATTGTATCTGAATTTCTTTGACTTTGTCATAATGTGATACTTTTTTATTTCCATAAAATGATTGGTTTGATATAAATTAATTAAATAATTAAATAAAAGTTGATAAATTTATAATTAAATTATAATAAAACTTACAACCAAAAAGTGAAGATCAAAAGTGGTTAGACGTGTGGCCCAACAAAAGTGAAGTACTTTGGCACGCAGTCAATGCCCTCAACAAGTGTTTTCACAATCTTTTCATTTTTCACAATAATTTTTCCTTTCTCAATCAACTCGTCGAGTTTCTGCTTTCTCATGAAGATGTCTACTAAGTCTTGTTTACTTCCTTTAATCTCTCCATCGTACTCATCACCACCATCTCTTGAGTTAATTGTAGAGTTGCAAATGACAAGTATTGCTGATTCTTTGTTGTTTGTGTCTTCTATTCGGATCTTGCAGTCAAGTCCTTCTATCACATTTGGATCAACATGAACAGCAAGGAAGTCCCCAAAGTCTCTCATTGGAATCGCCTCAATTGGGAAACTGAAGTCTCGTGGTTTCTTGTCGTTCAAATTTCTCAACTCGTAAGCGGCTGTTTGGTAGTTGTATCGCCAACTTGCGCACTCGGCAACGTAACTCAGTTGGTCGTATGTTGTAGCAAGCAGTTCGCGTGCCTTCATGTTGTTGACATCTGCAAATACCAAGTGATTCAAGACTGTTGCTGCCCATCGGTATTCGCCTTTGTTGTAAGCGTCTTGTCCAATTTCAAGTGTCTTTTCAACACCACCAAACGCCTCTACAAACTTCACTGCAAGTTCGCGTGGTGGAAGTTCGTCCAAGTGTGCTGGATTGCTGTCATATGTTCCAAGGTATAATTGATATTGTGATTTGATATTGTGGTTGAGTGAGCCGTACAGTCCTCTGCAACACCTCTCTTTATTGAGACTGTCGGGAAGTCTCACAAACTCGGCAATTTCAGTCATGTTATAACCCTTGTTGGCATATCGCAGTGTCTGGTCGTGGATGTGCTTGTACAAATCTCTTTTGGTTCGCCAGAACTTGTTGATTCTTTCATTCCCAAAGAGTGCTGGACCATGTCCCGCAAAGTGAATTTGGATGTCCTTCCCATAACTCACAATTGCATCATCCAGTGCTTTACTCCAAATCTTACCGCTTCTGACCTTAGCTCCTCTTAATGTTCCTTATTGTTATTATTTATAATATTTATCATATTCAAAGTGTGATAAGACTGTTTGACGATATTATTTTATATAACAATAACAAACCAAGATTATGCATACAAGAAGCAAAGTTGTCGGCAACAAATATTGCTTTAAATTCGGGCAAATAGAACATCATATTTGCTGGCGCCTCAGTGTTTGGAGTTGGGATAAATTCGAATGCGATTCCATCAATCTCTATGGTGCACTTTTCTTTAATGGCAGTTGTATGTTTACTCTTTGGCAAACAAGTCAATGGCTTATCTTTTGAGTTTGTGTTGTCAGTCACTTTAGTCATCGAGTCGTGCAAGAAAGTGCCATACATGTATTGTTGTCTCCTTGCCTGTGCTTCGTTGACATAAATGTTCTCATCCAAGAAACTTTCCTCGAACTTCTCAGGAACAAAGAGCGGAGTGTCTTCGTTTCCAACAGCAGTGTATCCACCAAAGTGGTCGAAGTGTGAGTGTGATATAATGACAGCAACTATTG